GATGTTCTTGACTATTGATTCAGAACCAACCCATGAGTGACCCTCCAGTTGCTTTTCAGAGGCAATAATTGCACAGGAGGAGATTGCCTATCCTTCTCCTGAGGAGCATCTGAGGGATTTGAACCACTTGCCTTTGGGATTTCAGTGCATGTTCTTGCCACTAGACCACCAGTGTACTACAAGTGCACTAGCCTCCTCTTGGGAGAAAGATGTTCATTCTCCTCTCAAAGATTTACAGCCTTGGAAACCCAATGGAGAGTCGTGATGATCAAACTTGAGTCACTTTTATAGGATTAAAAATACATCCAACAAAACATTCCTATCTCAACCGTGTTCACATTTCACTCAAGTTCTATGGCCTTGATCATGGCTGTCATACTGGATGGCAATGACTCCCATCTCCAAATGTTTTCAGAAACTTGGCATCCTCCCAGTATTGGTGCTCTCTTTCACCCTCCCACCCCTCCCTGGGAGTTGGTGGCTACTAGTACATTTGGTTATTTGTATGTGCGTGGGATAATACAGTATTTGTCTATCATGACTGTTTCTTTCAACATGTTTTCAGACTTCTTCCTTGTTACAGCAGATATCAGAACTTCATTTCTCTTTATGACTGAGTAATATTCCATTGTCTGTATACACCACATTCCCTTTATCAATTCTGTCGATGGATTATTGGGTTGTTCCTAGCTTTTGACTATTGTGAGAAGTGCCGCAATGTAAACCAGTGTACTGAGGTGCCATTTTCAACCAGAGAAATGTTAATTAGGTTGTTTTGAGATCAAATCACTAGACAGCCTTCCGTCAGTTTCATTTTAGAGTTCTGGTAATAAACTCTTGGGTGGAATAGACAAACACATTTGCTTTTACGTTTGAAAGGAATTTTTAATTTATATTCTTGTTTGTGCAGACCTTCTTCTGTGGTGACATTTTCGAAATAGCAATGATCACTGGGCTTTGATAGAGAATGGTGGGAGAGGAGAGCGGACATTATGGCCTCTGAGACAGCTGTCCAGCATAAACACCTCACCCCTCCTCTGTTTGTCCTGGTTTTTTAGGACAATTCAAGCTGCTGGAGCAAGATCGAGATATAAAGGAACCAGTGCAATACTTTAACAGTGTGGAGGAGGTGGCGAAGGCATTTCCTGAACGCGTGTACGTCATGGAGGAAATAACATTCAATGTGAAGGTACCTCGAGAAGAAACAAATATTTATCCTCAATAAATGGTTTTACTTTCAAGTCTCTAAGGACATATCTTTACCTCAAGAGTTCTGTCTTCCCAGTGGGCTAGCATCAGTGGCAATGCCCATCTTTTAAAAACTACATTGTGTTACAGCTGACTGGACTCATTGACAACTTCCAGTGTTTAATTAGTTGGGATACGGGGTGTTTTTGTTGCTGTTTGATTTACTTGCTAAAATTTAAAACTGATATCTGAGTTCAAAATTAAGACTTTCAAATTTTTGTTCATTTAGTTTGGGGTTGGCTGGTTTTAGTGTTGGGTTTTGTTTTTTTTTTTTTTTGGTTGGTTTTTTTTTTTTTCAGTTGAGACGTTATCTCCTAATAACTGTATGTCAAATCTCTGCAAAAATCCAGATGTTAAAAGTAATAACAGACATTTTTAAAAAAACCAAACTCTACTCCAAGAGTGTGTGCCTTGGAATAGGCACATACTTGTCTGACACAGACAGTCCTTGTGACTATTATTTCAATATACACAGATAAATTCGAGGCCCAGTAGGTATTTGTCACTCATTGGTCATTAAATAAAAGCTAAGTAGCATAGTAGGGAGCTGTGGTGGCCTGGTGTTAAAAAAAATCTGTGCTGCAATCCTGATAGCATGCAGTTCAAATCCACAGGAGAAGGATGGGCCATCTCCTCCCGTGTGATATCTGCCTCTGAAAACCCTCTGGTGGGTCAGCTGTGAGTCATCTCTGACTCGAAGGTACACAACAACAATAACATATACTATGGTGCTTTGGTTTGTTGTTCTTCAAGGTCGGTTCCATCCTCTTGTACACATTGAGAAAGCTCCTCTGACTGAACTTTATGTTCAGAGAATCCATGCTGCCAGCTAGTTCGTGCCGATCCACTGTGTTTTCTTTCAGCCTCGCCCACGTTACCCTAACTGTTTAGAAAGTGTTCACCTTGAAAGGATTTTCTGTGTAACTTCATTGCCTCATGAAGTCCAGTTAAGTTGGGCTCTCTGAAAAATGTCCCAAGATCAGGGATTCATTTAAGAAGTAAGGTCCACTTTCTTAGAAATTCATGCTGTGTGGAAAATAGGCAGCATGGGATCCTAGCCCAAGAATGCAACAGTGAGTCTCCAAGTGAGTCAGCCACTCGGCCCCCTGCCCGGGAAGGGGGATGTGCCAGGACAGCCTCCTGATTGGAGAAGCAGTTCTGTCCATGTTAGTGGCTAATCTTTCCACCAGTCTAAAAATTCAGATGCCTCCTGCCTTTATTAATTAAGATGAGTGATGTTTATGTTTTATCAGATCTCTGCTACATAAATTGTGTCTATCTGCAAGAATATTTGTCATTTTAACTCCTGCAGTGGCCCAGGACATTAGTCATCAAGACAACTTGATTCACTTACAGTGAAAATTTGTAAGAACATGTGTATCTTTAAACTAAGCAAGATTTATTGGCCAGAAGCTAATCAGATCATACCGTTAGTGTCTTGATATGATTTAAAAATCTCTCTTGAAACTTCTATTTGGAATTATCTAGATGGGGAGGGGATAATAAGTTGTTTAGGAAGTTAATACTTTTCAGTGGTGAGAAATTAGCATGACAGTGGAACTCTGTTGGCGTAGTGGGTACGTCCTTGCCCTGTCAAGCCAAAGGCAAGTGGTTGGTGCACCAGTTGTTCAGAGGGAGAAAGATGGGCAGTCTTCTCTTGTGGGATTTGCCTCTTCAAGCACACTGGAGGGTGAGTTGGTTCTGACTTGACAGCAATGTCAAGTATGTTAGAATGTTGGTAACAAAAATGTCATTTAAGAATGAATGAAAATCCCAAATTAACAACAATTCGAAATCTTGCATAGTAATCTTAGGGGACAGTGAATTTATATAACTGAAAATGCAACTCTGAAAAAATACGGTGAGAACGGTTGCACAGCTAAAAGAAAGTCATCAATACACTTAAATAGTATATGTAAAAACTTCAATCAGTGTGTGTTTTGTTGTGCATATTCTCAACAGCAACAAAATAAAATTATTTTACAAAATAATAAAATGACAAAAATCTTGGTAGCACAAAAAAAAAGAATGAATGAAAATCCAAAGTCTCAGTAAACGTTCATTAAAATTAATAAAATAACAAAAAATATAAAAAGTGTCATTTAAGAAGTCAAAGACATAGAAATATGGAACCTAAACATATAACATCCATACCGCTCATTCATTGGGTTGAGTCCTGGGCTGTGCATACATAAATGTTTAATATCTTTAGTCTGTTATTAATTCTAAAGTTTTAAAATGCAAACATATCCAGCTTCCACTATGAAGACATTATTCAATTGTATTCAAAGAATTGGTATAAGTATCTCAAGAAATTTATATCAGGAATACATTGACATCTATTTCTTAGTAAAGGAATACTCAAATAGTTAAATAAACTGAGGGATTATAGGCCAAGGTTTCTCAATACTATTTGGAACAACTATCATTTGGAAGTCATTGTCTTTGATTGTTGTTGTTAGTGTTGTTGTTGTTGTTGTTGTTGTTACGTGCCGTCGAGTCACCTACAACTCATAGCGACCTTATGTACAACAGCCCTAAAGACAGCTGTATCCTGTGCCAATCTTATTGTCTCTGACACACTTACCCCCATTACTCTAGTCACTGAATCAATCCATCTCATCCAGGGTCTTCCCCTCCTACACTGTCCCAAGCATGATGTCTCTCTCCAAAGACTGGTCCCTCCTTGCAACATGTCTAAAGTATGTCAAATGAAGCTTCAGAATCATTCTCCTCCTAATCATTGTCCAGCTCTGTGTTGCATAGTTGTCTTTGATTAGAAGTAGAATTTATTTCAGTGTATTAGGATGTGTGTTGCAGTGCCTAATGCTCTCACATTAAGTGAAGGTAAGAAAATAAGATGCTTGGTTGCTGTTTCCTCTGGAAAAGTAAAACAAAATGAAAAATGGTGCTTCGTATTAAAAAAAAATGTAGCTATTATTCAGATAGTAATTGTTTAAAGCAGGGCACATTTCAAACCTTAGAAAATTTCCCCCTCTACCTCTACTTCAAGTGCAGGATACATTAGACCAACAAGCAACAACTTGTTTGTTGAAGAAACAAATAAGATTAAGAAATGATAGTCAATGGTAATTATTTGAAATAAAGAATTATCTTTGTGTGTTTACAAGTACAAATTGAAATAAATCAATTAAAGAGTGATACCCAAAACCTTAATATGGATCAAACACCTAAATGTAAAACCTAAATATAAAGATGATCAAAGAAAAGATGAGGGCCAACTCAGGATAAATATTCTAGGAAGCATAACAAAACAAAAAAGCAACAGAGGATAAAGTAGATGACTGGAACTTTCTGAGAGCTAAATCTTGATGTTTATCAAAAGACTTCTCCAGAAAGCAAAATAGAGAACCAGTAGATTTGGAAACTAAACAGTATTTGTCAACGACATGCCTAACAACAGACTAATTACTAAATCTCAGAACTCTTAACACTTCAATGAAAGGCAAAGAACTCAGTTAAAAATTGGGGAGAGGACGGTGGAGAGGAATAGTACTTTACCAAAACATATGTTTGATAGCCAAACAAAGGAGTGAAGAAATGTGCACTTTAGTTGTTAGAGAAATGCAAATTCCAGCAATAGTCATCTCACCCCAGCAACAATTGCAGTGTTCAATAAGGCAGGAAACAACAAATGCTGGTGGGTGCATAGAGACCTCCAAACATTCATACACAGCTGTGGGACAGTAAGAATGGCAATATCACTATGGAGAGCAGTTTGGTACGTCCTTAAAAAGTTGGAAATGGCGTCCCCCACGATGTGACCTAGATGCCAGCAGCCTCCGGAGCTGCTGCCCCAGCCCCTTCTGCGGCACTGGCTTCTGGACGCACTAGGTCACGACCAGCGCTTTGGGAAGATACTCTGTATGTTTTTTCCATTTCCCTTCTCTTTACCATTTTCTACCTTTTACTCGCAATATATTTTTGCTGAACTCGTTTCACAAACAAAAAAAAAGGTTGGAAATGGAAATATCATTTGTTCCAGTCATCCCACTACTAGGTATATGTTGTTGTTGTTGTTTAATGCCGTCGAGTCTTAGACGACTCATAGCGACCCTATGAACGAACAGCCTGAGCACTGTTCATACATAGAGCTTCAGGAGGCAAGCCATTTTGGAAATGGATGCCGCTCCTGCTTCCAGGCTTGATTTAGTCGGGAAGCTCCAGCCAACACTGTCCACCATGGGTGCCCATTACCACAATTGGCACATCACTGTCACAGGCTTCAGCTCACAGCAACCACGAGTTACCTCTGTACAGCAACGCACAGACCAGTGCTATACCACCTAGAAGAATGTTTGACAGGAAGACAATTTTAACCTGGCCGAGGGCCACAGATGACAATCACCCACCTTCGGCTTGGTAGCACAGCTTCCTTCCACTAGGCCAGCATAGCTCTCTCTTGGTTGTCGTCATTGTTATTGTTATTTAATGCCGTCGAGTCGTAGATGACTCATAGCGACCCTATGAACGAACAGCCACTAGGTATATATCATAGAGAAATAAAATCTTTGGCACAAACAGTATATGCACACCCATGTTCACTGCAGCATTATTTGCAATAGCAAAGGAATGAAAATAATGGAAGCATCTGTCAACAGATGAATGGGTAAACCATGGTACATACAAATGGTACAACACTATGCAACACTAAAGAATAATGAAGAATAGATTTGCCTAGAAGACCAGGCTAAGTAGAGTAAGTAACAAAAGGGCAAATATTATCAGTCCTCTATAATTCAAAGCTAAAGAAAGGTTTACCCACCAAAAAAAAGCATTCTTGGATGGATAGATACTAAGCATGGGAATGAAGGGAGAGGGCAGTAAAAAACAGTAAACAGATATGTATTAAGATGAGTAACAGCGACAAGAGAAATAAAGGGAAAGGCAATATATAATAAGATAGCAGAGTGTCAATAG